TCAAAATGGCTGCCACAACCAACTGACCTTAGAAAAAATACACCTGTTCATAATTCAGTCAGTTTCACAGATGCTGAGATCAAATCCACGACACAAACTTTGCTCGGGGTCTTTGCCTAAAAATGTGATGGAATTAACACTGTTAGCAAAATATCTCATGAACCAGTGGACAGATTTGAAGGGAACTCTCATACAGTAATGAGCGGATGAACAGTTTTGCAGCCGATTATCTGTGACAATTTGTTAGAATCTAAAAGTCCATTGACAGAATGTTATCTGCAGAGCCGTTTTACAAATTGCTTCAGAAACTATAGAATTCACCAGAGCCTGAACTGACTGTGAACAGGTCACAGGTTCATGATGAAACACATGACACAAGTCTCCTACATGCACATGAACGGTGGGAGGAACCTGCACTAGCGGAAGAAAATCGACACAAAGTGTCTTGAACTATCAACAGAAAGACGGGTATACAAGCAGTTCTCTGATGTCCCTGACACTGAGGGCTTTAAAGAGGGAATGCATGGAAATTTGGAAATTAATGTTTTTCTGGACTGGAACTGAACAGGGAATGCAAACAAAGCTTAATATTTTTGATGGAAGATATTCAAGTGGGTATGAGTTACACTGTGGAGAAGAACAGAGGTAGTTTTTTTTTTCTTGTCTGGGGCAGCACCGAGTGACAGATCCTGATTATTGTGTCTTTGTTTATCTTCTCTGACCTGGGAACTCCTCAGGGTCAAGGAGGAGATGGAGAGTGTCCCTGGGATGAGGGAGGTCTGGATTTATCTCCTGGACCTGGTGCTTCTGCAGCCCAATTACAGATAAACAGTAGAACAGGGAGATGTTATTCTGAGTTCTAATTTAAGGAATTATTAGAATTGCATGAATATATAATGAAAGATCAAAGTTCATGCTCAATAATCCAGGTAAAAATCCAGCAATGTTCAGTCAGGTCATCTGGACAGTTTCTTTTTTTTTGTTTTTGTTTTGCTGAGACGTTTCATCCATCATCCAAAGGACTTCATCAGTCCGAGGAGCCACAAACAAACTCCGTCCCACAAGCATCACACTACCATAGTGAAAAAAAACCAGTTTGCTGGAGATAAGACGGTTTCTGGGGCCTGCCCTCTCCCCCGTCAACTCCTCTGAGGCAGCCATGCCAAAGTGGTTCAAAACATCAAAGTTCACGCTCAACAAAACATCTCAGCAAAAAAAAAAGAAACCGTCCAGATGACCTGAGTGAACACTGTTGGATTTTCTACCTGGATTTTTCATTCAACCTTTATTTAGACAGGTTAATCCCATTGAGCCTCGGGGACTCATTTACAAGAGAGATCTGATTTTAACAAAGAATGATGACAACAATGGACAACAAGGACAACAATAGACAGTTATAAAATAAGCATACAAATTTGTTTCTCCTTTTTTTTTATTGAGGATGAACTTTGATGTTTTAAACCACTTTGGCTGTGGCTGCCTCAGAGGAGTTGACTGGGGGAGAGGGTGGGTCCTGGAAACTATCTTATCACCAGCAAACGTTTTTTCCCCACTATGGGTGTGTGCTGCTTGTGGGACTGAGTTTGTTTGTGGCTCCTCGGAATGATGAAGTCCTTTGGATGAAGGATGAAATGTCTCAGCAAAAACAAACAAAGAAACCGTCCAGATGACTGATGGGGGAAGTTATGTAAAGGTCATGGAAGTTTTCACTTACTAATGTTAAATTAACCATGTATGTGAAGTCAAGAGAGTATTTCTGTCTACTCAGAGAGGAATCTGATAATTGATAACTGATCAACTCTGACACCTTCAACAAATGTGAGCTGTGAAGCAGAGGTTGTCTTGACCTCGTCTCTGTCCGATAACGGGTATTGAAGCTTTTCCTAATTCATTGTCTGTAGGCAAACCTTGGACTGGAGCATCAAATAACATCTTGTATGCCTCCTGTGTGTTAATTAAGCTGAAAAATCTTCTTGGATCCTCTGTGTGTGGAATATTTGATTGATGACATGACGATAGGTTAATTAAATTATCCAACAACAACATGACTGAAGATTGTTGGATATACTGAAAGCTAAAAACAAAGACGTACAAATAAGATAAGTACTTTTTTAAACGCCATTGATTTTATGTTGCATCTTTATTTAATTGATTGATTTTTCTTTTTTATTTATGTACTTACTAACCTAAAGCTCAAAATGTTTGGATCCATTTACTTGTGAGGTCTTTTCACTTGTTAGACGTTTACGTGTCCCTGTTTGTCAGTATCTGTGTTTTTTGGAGTAGTTTTCTGTTTATTCTCATGATGCTGTATGTTGTATTATTATTTGTGCTCAGTTTGTTTCTTGTCTTGCTGTGTTTCCAGCCATCATCAGTCTATTTCCTCAGTTCTTTTCTTCTGTTTCAGCTCCGCCCACTCTCACCTGTTCCCAGTCTTCCTTTAACTCAGGTGCCTCCACTTCCTCATCAGTTCCTGTCTCTATCACTTATGACCCATTCTTCAGGTGAGCACTGTTGGTGCCTGTGTCATGTTTGGTGCGCCCTGTGTTTCCTTGTGTCTCCTCCTGCTGCTGAGGTTTAAGTTTTGCTGCCACTATATTTTGATTTGAAGTTTACTTTTTTTTTTTTTTAAGCTTATCAAGTCTGTCTGCAGGCGGCACGGTGGTGCAGCTGGTAGAGCTGCCGCCTCTCAGCGAGCAGGTGACCGGATTCAATCCAGGTTGGGGGTCTTTCTGGGTGGAGTTTACATGTTCTCTCCGTGCTGCGTGGGTTTTCTCCAGGTACTCTGGTTTCATTTTGTTTGTTTCAATAAACTCTGACACTAAGGAGGATTTTTTCTTCTTTTAACGTTTTTAATTTCTTAATTCTAATACACAACTGCGCAAACTTGTGCTTCTGTCTGATAAATAAATAAAACACTAATTAATAAAAAGTCTGTCTCACACTGTTTTTAATTTCTGCATGTTGATGTTGCCATATTCAACTGACGAATGAATTTAAATACATTTTTTTAACAAAAAGTGTTGAGAAAGAAGTCAACTCAAAACACCAAAAATTAACATAGAAACAGTCCAGTTCAGAAAACATGACATTTTTACTGTGGATTTCACATTTTTCCTTGATTCTAACAGTTCACAGCACTGAGGGAGAATCAGGGAGAAAGAATTAAACCAACAGGGGATGAAAAGGCTTCATGCCTCATGACCAGTCAGTGAACCCGATGGTCCAGGTTTGACAAAGTTGAGTGAAAAGGCGAAATTCAACTGGGAAAGAACAGCTGGTGAAGAGAAGTGATAATCAGGAAATACAGATAGTTTAACACAACAAAGTTGTTATTAAAGAGAAATGTCACTAAATTTATTCAACAGGAACAATTTTTTTTGTCTTAATTACAAAGAATGAACTTTAGAGAAACACGAGGCTGGGAGAAATCCCAGTGCAATGACACCAACTGCACTATGGTGTGCTTTAGTTACATCTATTGAAACAGTAATGACAACAGGACGGATAAGACCACGTTAATATTTAACTCACAATCCTACAAAAAGGGAAAATGTAAAGATACGATTAAAATGTTACATGATATTCTTGTCATTTTTGAAGTGATGAGGGGAGCTGCCGTAGCTGGGTGTTCAGTGCTGTGGTCTTGTAATTCAGCAACAATCCCACCAGCCATGACATCAGACAGAGAGAATGAAGGAAATAAGCTGAGGTCCAGGCTAGGCTAACAGCTAACCAATCAAGGGCTCATTTTTTCATGATCTTTCATGCTTTTAAAACAACTCTTTCTCAAAAACGACTCACTGGAGTGAACAAATTCTACTTGCTAATATTAAATCTATTTTTATATGATGTTGTTTGTTTGTTGCTGTTTTCTCAACCAAACATGTGTGTGCTGAACATGGACCATTACATACTGATAGTATATAAACTGTAAATGTAGGATTTAAGTAAATGTTTGGACTGACTAGACATGCTAATCTGGCAGGCTGATACTGTAACTTCACCCGCTTAAATTGTTATCAGACATTAAATGGCCATTATTAGTTGTTATCATCCCCATAGGTTGCCTTCAGACTGTCCCACCTGTACCTCCTAGTAGGTTTAAAGGTGCATTCTTATCGCTGATAATAGGGTCAGTTGGTTAGGTTAAGGGTTAAAGGTCAGGGGGTTAAGTTTAGGGTCAGTGCTTTGGGTCAGGTGTAAGGTTAGGTTTAGAAAAAGGTTTAAATGACAGACGTACTTGTTTTTAGTTTTGTACATCACCTTACAACCTAGCTGTTTTTTTTGTTTGTTACATTTTTGTAAATACCGTTTTATTTTCACTTGTTATTCTCAATTTGTATGCATCATTTATGATTGTCTATTATTGTCTTTGTTGTTCACTGTTGTCATCACTCTTTGTTAAAATCCAAGTCTCTCTTGTAAATGAGTCCCCGAGGCTCAGTGGGACTAACCTGTATAAATAAAGGTTGAATTAATGAATAAAAAAACCTAACAAAAAATAAAACTCTCAGCTTTTAGACGCAGGCAAAGCTGCATATTATCAGCTATAAGAACTTACCTTTAAACCTACTAGGAGGTAGAGGAGGGACAGTTTGAACACAACCTTTAATGGGCTGATAACATTCGAAGCTGCTGATCTAGCTACACTTGCCAGATGTACATTTAATAAAGGAAAACAGCAAGAAACTATAAAAGTGTGCCATGGTGCAGGTTAAATATTAGCTAATGTAGCATTCTTTCACACTGGTATGTCAGTTTTGACATACCAAATGTCCGAATGATGTTATGGAACACAAATGTCATGTCGTATTCAAGACCACCTAACCCGAGACAAAGTCAAGACCAAGTGACTCGGCTGGTAAAGTACAAACCATTGGTAACTATTTGCCCGAACATCACTTCAAAAATGACCGAACAATGTTATTTAAATATGAAGACATGAACAAGATGCAGGGTTGAAATTTACTGTAAATTTGTTGTTTTTTTACAGATGACTACTTGTTTTTGCTCTGCTCTTGGAAGAAGTCATTGCAGGCAACAGTTAGAGCGGCCACCAACACAACAAACTCGTTGAAGTCCACCTCGTTGTCCTTGTTGGAGTCCAGGTCATTCATGATTTTCTCCACCAGCATTGGATCTTTCTGAGACTGTAATCAAACAGAAAGAGGAGAAGTTGTGAAATCTGCAGACTGACGCCTGCCTATTCTTCATAAAGAAAGAAAACCATTGCCATTGAACCCTCAGGTCCCTCTTCAGCCAGTTAAAGATAGCTTACAAACAGTGCGACCGTGCGCCCATATAATGGGCGCAGGAGACTTGCACCCAGAATCTTCCTATGTCTTGTAAGGAACAGGCACTAACTACGCATGTACAACTTTTAATGAGCGTCTATGGACAAAGATTCTAGCGCCCCAAGAGCAGAAATATGTCTTCAATCAGAGACAACGTTTTTGAAAGAAACAACTTTATTCATAATTAACTATAAAATATTTATCTTACACAACAAAAAAATGTATACATATATTTCAAATATATATATATTTTATTATTTAATTTTTATTTAGTTTTTTTCTGTCTTCAAGGTAATATGAGTGGTTTGAATGGTGGGGCAGGACTTTAGTTCCCCCTATTGACGAACCGCCACTGAATACAAGAAGTTACATCAAAAATCTAAAACATGTTTTGTTGCATCACAGCCCTCTGAGCAGTAATAAAATCAAACTGTGAGATGACTTGGTCTGTTGACTGGCCTTGGCTGCAGCAGACCTTTCTGTGCTTCTTCAATCACCACAAGTTGGAGTCACAACAAACTTTCAACCTTTTTACAATGTTTCCACAAAGAACCAACAATCGGTATGCTTAAGTCTTTTGAATTGAACATTTTTCCTCGATTCTGTGATTCAAATCCTTCCATCTACATATCATCTACAAAATATTAAGTGACTGTTGGACCCATGCCAGAACATTGAACAGAAAGCTGACCTGATCTGTCCTGTGGTTCTTGGAGGATCTACAATAGTATGGTTAAAGGTTCTGCACCTCTACCCTGAACCCTGTGGAGAACTTCTTTCCAAATGGTCAGACCACTATTTTTTTCATTTGCTGTGTAGTTTATGTTCATAGTTTAATAATTATCTGGGATTGGATATAATCAGATCTATTAATGTTTCGGTGCTTTATTTTCACGTCTTAATTATAAATGGCTTTCTTTCTCTCATGCCACTGTTTAAACAGAATAATTTAAATGTATATTTTGGTATCTGAGCATCAATCTTGTCCATCCATCCATCCATCCATCCATCCATCCATCCATCCATCCATCCATCCATACATTATCTTTATCCACTTCTGCCTTTTTGAGTCATTGGGGTCACTGATGCCCATGTCCAGCAGTCACTGTGTGAGAGGCGGGGTGCACCCTGGACAGGTCTCCAGTCCATCACAGGGACACATAGAGACAAATGAGCATTCACTCTCTCACTCACACCTAGAGAAAATTTAGAGTTACCCATCAGCCTAACATGCATGCTTTTGGTCTGTGGGAGGAAACCGGAGTACCTGGAGAAAACCCACACATGCACGGAGAGAACATGCAAATTCCACCCAGAAAGGCCACCGGTTGGGATTTAAACGGGCAATCTGCTCGCTGAGAGGTGGCAGCTCTACCAGCTTTGACACTGTGCTGCCCGTGAATTATCACCTTTTTCTTTTAATTTTAACTAAAATTACTCATCCATAATTCTTCCCTTGGAATTTATTTACATGTAAATAGATTTTTTATATATACAGTATATATATTAATAGGAAGAATCTCATGTGATTCATTGTTATGCTGATGATACTCAGTTATATTTGTCCATGAAACCCAATGAATCCAATCAGTTACTTAAGTTACAAGCATGTCTTAAAGACATAAAAACCTGGATGACTCTTAATTTTCTACTTTTAAACTCAAGACTGAGGTTGTGGTTTTGTACCTGAGCATCTCAGGAAGAAATTTTGAAGTCTTTCACGTTCTCTGGATAGCATTAACTTGGCCTCCATTTCTCATGTAAAAAAAACCCCCAAAGCTTGGTGTTATTTTTGATCAGGACATGTCTTTTATCTCCAACATTAAAAACTTTAGTAGAACTGCCTTCTTCCACCTGTGTAATATCACTAAAATTAGAAACATCTTATCTAAAAATGATGCAGAAAAACTGGTCCATGCATTTGTCACGTCTAGACTGGACTATTGCAATGGTTTATTATCTGGGTGTCCAAATACTTCTTTAAAACGCCTTCAGTTGATCCAAAATGCTGCTGCCAGAGTCTTAACTGGAGTTAGTAGGAGAGATCATATTTCTCCAGTTTTAGTTTTTCTTCATTGACTCTCTTTCAAATCCAGAATAGAATTCAAAATCTTACTTCTAACCTACAAAGCTCTCAACAACCTAGCTCCATCTTATATTACAGATCTTATTGTTCCATATTTTCTTAACAGAGCACTTCACTCTCAGGCTGCAGGTTTACTTGTGGTTCCTAGAATTTACAAAAACAGAATGGGAGGCAGATCTTTCAGTTGTCAGGCTCCTCTCTTGTGGAACCAACTTCCAGTTTCTGTCCATGAGGCTGACACATTATCCAGTTTTAAAACTAGGCTTAAGACTTTCCTTTTTGCTAAATCCTATAGTTAGGGTCGGCTTGGGTTTCCTGAGCTGTCCCTTAGTTATGCTGCTATAGGCTTAGACTGCTGGAGGACAAACTTACCACAATTTTTCACTCTGCTACTTCTTTACTTACTCTGCTCAACCTGTTTTGTATTTGTAATTATTTTTTCTATCCTTAACATGTGCTTTTTTTGTCTTTCAGCTACACATGGACCTATACCTGGACCTACCATTCTGTGCTCGTTTGTCTCTCCTCCCTGTCCTCTCAACCAGCCGGTCAAAGCAGATGGCCACTTGTCCTGAGCCTGGTTCTGCTGGAGGTTTCTTCCTTTTAAAAGGGAGTTTTTCCTTTCCACTGTTGCCACTGTGCTTGCTCAGGATGGGAGACTGCATCGAAGCCAAGATTCAACTTGTCTGCTGGATTCCTTAGATAGGGCTAACTTCCACTATCATACTGCTTGAGGATTCACACCAGACATTGTGGTCCTCATTCCTGGTCCTGCTGGGCCACTATCCTGTATGTTTTAAATGTTCCTCTACTTCAACGCACCTGATGTGAATGAATGAATAATTAGCAGGATTCTGCAGAACTTGAAAAACTGTATGCTGTGAATTTTATTGTTTGTTTGTTTTTTACTTTTTGAATTATTCAAATTAAATTATTTATTATTTATTCCCCATAGAAATAATTTGAGACTTATTTAATGCCTGTAAATAATAATTTCTTTGAAATCCACTTTAGCATTGTGGTTCATTTAGTCTTATTTGGCTCCTTTTGGGTTTTACCCACTGTCTTGTAAATATTATCTTTTAGCTATGGTTTGCTCATTTTTACTTTTAGGACACAACATTGCTAGTTTTACTTTTCAGCAATTTTTTTGCTAAATTGAACTCTTAGCTACTGTTTAGCAAAATAGCCATGTTTTGGCTCATTTCATATAAGGTTGAATTAGGACTTTATTCACCCCTTGGGGATATTCCTTTAGGGAAATAAAATACAGTATATATATAT